CTTATTGTTCCTAGAGACAAGTTATGTCTATTTTATCAAGTAAATTAATATTAAAATTAATATTACTAGGTTTTAGGTTTTGCTAGGTAATAAAATTACATATCTCAGATACTATTTAAAGCAAACAAAAGTCCAAACAAGAAAAAGGTATCTGGAAAGTAGGAATGTTTATTAAGTAAAACTAATTAAATTCTCAAATTTCCTCCTAAGGTTGCTTTTATTATTAAAATCTGACTGCATTTATTTTATTTATTACTTGATGGTAAGTCTTTTAGAGTTTTCATTGTATAAGGGATCTTAGTGAAGGAAGAATTATGTGTTTGTCTTCATTATAAACCATTATCTACTTGATGAGTTAGTATGAGGGAGAAAATTATACTGACCAAGAAATATTAGGAAAAAATAAGGATTATTAAAGGAAAGAAGGAATATAATTCTTTTTTTTATTGTAAAATGTCTTGTAGCTTCATTTCTGATTTTAAAATGTTACAGCACTTGCTTATTGTCACAGCATGATCTTCAGCACAGTTGGGTATTGCTTTTTTTTTTTTTTTTTCAGGGTATTGTGAGGGTACAAACATTATGGTTACACTTTATGTCTTTGCCTCACCCAAGTGCGGGTTAAAGGCATGCCCTTCCCCCCTACAGTGCTCCCGTGTCCTTTAGTTGCAGATTTACCCCCCCATCCCCCTAATCCCTGGAGAGTATTTATGCCATGTGATGACCCTGGTGTTGATCAGCTAGTACCAATTTGATGGCGAGTACAAGTGGAGCCCATTCTTCCGCTCTTGTGGTGCCTCACTTTGGATAATGGGCTTAAGTTTAATCCAGGAAAGTATAAGAGGTGCTAGATCACTGTCATTTCTTATGATTGAGTAATATTCCATTGTAAACATATAGAAAATTTTAATAATCCACTTATGGATTGATGGGCACTTGGGTTGTTTCCACATCCTTGCAATAGTGAATTGTGCTGCCATAAACATTTGGTTGCAGATGTCTTTATCATAGAATGTTTTGTGCTCTTTTGGGTAGATGCCTAATAGTGCTATTGCTGGATCGAATGGTATTTCTATTTTTAGCTCTCTGAGGTATCTCCAAATTCTTTTCCACAAAGGTTGCACTGATTTGCAGTCCCACCAGCAGTGTAAGAGTGTTCCTGTCTCTCCACATCCTCGCCAGCATTTGATGTTTTGGGATCTTTTGATAGAGGCCAATCTCACTGGGGTTAGGTGATATCTCATTGTGGTTTTGATTTACATTTCTGTAATGATTAGAGATGTTGAGCATTTTTTTATATGTTTGCTGGCCATTTTTCTGTCTTCTTTTGAAAAGTTTTTGTTCATTTCCTTTGCCCATTTGTTGATGGGGTTGTTTGATTTTTTCTTGTTGATTTTTTTGAGTTCTAAATAGATTCTGGTTATCAGCCCTTTATCAGATGTGTAGAGAGCAAATATTTTTTCCCAGTCTGTGGGCTGTCTATTCACTCTAGTGACAGTTTCCTTGGCAGTGCAGAAGCTTTTTAATTTGATTAGATCCTACTTATTTATTTTTGTTGCTGCGGCGATTGCTTTGGGGTTCTTCTTCAAGAATTCCTTCCCTAGGCCGATGTCTGAAAGTGTCTTCCCAACATCTTCATTTAGAATTCTTAAGGTTTGGAAATATAATTCTTAAAGGATAAGGAACAAAAAGAACTAAGAGGAAGGAAGAAACTTAAAGCTTTTAATGGAACTTTGAGATTTAGATTCCATTTAGTTCTATTGGACCACCATTTTCACTGTCAGTCTATAATCTTAAATGGACTATCTCCTTAGTCTCAACACTATTCGCCAATATAACAGTTTGTAAAGGCGAAATTTCTTTGATTTGTTGGAGACAGAATTCTGATGAGAAAGCTTGTCTCTTTCTAGGGTGCCTCCCACCTACTTCCCTCTGCATTTAGAAGAACCCCATTTTGCAATCCCAGAACACCTGTCCCCCTCTCTTCCCATCCTTGTCTTGGTATGTTTGTAGGCATTAGGACAACATCCAGTCTTCCATCCTTTTATTTCTGATAAACTCAAGAGTACCCAATGAAATTTTTTAAAAGTCTCCATCTCCGGCCAGGCATGGTGGCTCACAGCCATAATCCTGGCACTCTGGGAGGCCGAGGCGGGAGGATTGCTGGAGCTCAGGAGTTTGAGAGCCTGAGCAAGAGCAAGAGCCCTGTCTCTACTTAAAATAGAAAAAAATACCCGGGCATGGTGGCATGCACCTGTAGTCCCAGCTATTCGGGAGGCTGAGGCAGGAAGATCACTTGAGCCCGGGAGTTCGAGGTTGCTATGAGGTAGGCTAACACCATGGCACTCTAGCCCTGGCAACAGATCCAGACTCTGTCTCAAAAAAAAAAAAAAAAAAAAAAAGTCTCCTTCTCCAGTAAATGTTGTAAAATTAAAAATTATAGTCTGTGAAGTACCCACACCTTTCTTTAATTTTGTTTTTTGAAATACATATCACATTAAAATATTTAAGTTCTGATGCTGCTTAATCTCCCCATCGGAGTGGGAGAAAGAGTTGGTAAAACCTTACCTCATTCCTCAGTGAGAAATGAGTCATCTCCCTTTGAAGCAACTCACAAAATATTTAGAGAACAAACTCCACTCCCCACAAGAATTTACACCAAGGGAAACAATATATACTAAGTTTCCTAAAATGTATGGCCATATTAAAATATGTCACAAATACAGTGAGCAAATGCAGCTCTCTTTTCTCAACATAAGATCAGGCCATGTCAACACTGAAAGCTTTGTAATATTACTACTTAGCTGGGAGAAGCAATAGAAATATTGATAAACATTTTGATCTCCTATAAAATAGTACTGAATTACATTATAATTAAAGTCGCAATGAATATGTTGACTTTACGTGGCCTGCATTTTCATTGTAACATTCTTACATCACTATATATTTTGATTGTGCTTTAGAAATTTTCTCACCCCAATTTATAAATGAGCTTACTTAATGAACATGTTCAATTGTACATTTGTGGTCTAAGGAAATGCTCCCTCTAAAAGAGCTTGCCTTTCCTCTCAAGTGGCAACTTCTATCCTGACAAAAGCAGTCAATTGCCATATTTTCTTTTCCCTCAATAGTTTTGGATGGTTTTGCTGATGCAAAATGCCTTTGCATTTTGGTTCACTGACTTAAGGTGTTCTGTGAATTCAACTTATAAATAACTAATGTAGACCTTGTTTTGTAATTGAAATAAGGGGCAGGTTTAGTTAGCCCTTTTGATTCTCAAGCCCCTAGTGGTTTGGACGATATTCATACCTTTCAGCCTCACCGTGCCTGTACTCTTTGAAATAAACTATCATATGTTGACATCCATGACCTGTACTTAGCCAGAAGTTCTTCAGCTCTGATGGACTTTGCTTATTCGCAGAGGACGGCACCTCTCTTGAACTCTGTCTCATTTCATTTCTTTTCCTTTCCAGACATCTTTTAGTTTTTCCGCAGCATGTTCTAAGTCGTTTTTGAACATTTTAGCTCTCTAATGTAGAAGAGATATTCCTAGTCCTAAGGAATTCTGCTTGAAATTTGGTTTAAATAGTGCTTTTCCCTCCTACAGTATGATAGTTTTAAATGTTTCTGGATGAATATATGGAACCAGCCTATCTTAATTTTTATTATATTTCATATATTATTTCCCAAAAAGAGATTATCACATTTTTATCTCTATGTGTAAACAAGATGTAATTTTATGAAATAGCCCCTTATAGAAGTTGGTTTTTTATTATTTTCTTCCTGTTATAGTTTTCTCCTTTCTTACTTTCATATTGGATTATTCTTATTGACTGTTTTAAAGCAATTGCAAGGCCATAATGTATATAATGGTGTCACAATAAAATATGCAACAATCACAATTCTAAAACAATAATGCTGTTTTTTCTTTAGTGGATAATATATTTACACATCTAGGGCACTGGCAAATAGTTTTAAAAAATAAGTACTATATCTCAGTATTTTTTATTTGACCTTTTATGCTTCTCAAATGTGCTGTCATAAAGATTTGTTGTATATGTGTAATGCAGTAAAAATAATATGAAGCTTTTGAATCTATGAATTATATATTTATATAAAAGAGTTTAACATTCTTATATTTTGATTCCTTTCATTGTTTAATGGAAATGTATTGATTGTGGTGAATGTCATTTTTCACTTTTTAGCAAAACTATAAATGTTATTGATTTTTTGTTAAAGAAATTTTTCAATAGCTAACTTTAAATATATCTCTAGTCTCGATTTGCACATATAGCAAATGGTCAGAATAATAAAAAGATATCGTTATAAATACCTCCTACCAGTACTTTAGCCAATGAAGTTTTGTCCCCATGCTAGCTGTGGGTCATTCAAACTTAGTCTTTTTTCTACAGTCAGAGGAGCCTTTTATTATTTAAAAATTTCTTAGAGACTGGTGCAGCACCATATTGATTTGTCTCTCATAGTTGTTTTCTTTAATCTGGTTTTACTTCAATTTTTTTTCCTTCTTAGCTCTGTTTTCTCATCAGACAATGATTTTATTTCTTTGTTCCTGATTCTGCATCATCTTTTTCTCTTTGTAAACTCGTGTGCTAATAAATATCTGATATTTAAGAGGAAGATTTCCGTTCATAAGAAGGACAAATCCATTTATCCAAACAAAGAAATATATTTGGGGAAAAAAGGTCAGCATAATTTCACAAATTGCATGGTACTATTGGAGCAAAGCTCCTGTCCTTTCATATCTTACAAATGAATTCATATTGGGGGTCAGATTCTACTGTAGAGAAAACATAGACTATGTTACCATCCCATTTTCTTAGTGAAAAACGCACCAACAAACACATGCATCTGAATAGAGAACAATAGCAACAAAAAAATTATTGAAATTTTCCACCAGGCCATTCTCTTAATCATTTCACACATGTGATAGAACACGTAGGCATCAAACCAACTCTAAGCCCCATTTGTGCTTCGTAAAGGTTATTTGACTACCACGGACGTGTGCCTCCACCTCCTCGCGCGGTCATTCCTCTGAAGCGTCCCAGAGTGGCTGTCGCAACAACTCGCAGGGGGAAAGGAGTCTTTTCCATGAAAGGCGGATCAAGATCTGGTGTTAGTGGGTCTTCATCGGGCTCTAAATGTAAGTAATGTCCTTCATTTTATTTCTCTTTAAAGAAGGGCGAGGTTAGCTATGATTTCATGAATGCCTGTATTCAATAAATCTGGTAATTATGAAATACCTGCTATGTACAAAATTAATTAGAGAATGATAAAATGGATAAGAAATGGTCTGTGCTTTCCACCACACTGTGTTGCAGTAGGGGAGACAGACAAAAACATGACTAACAAAAGCCCAGGACCAATTTGCAAAGTATTTTATCAGAGCAAATAACGTTGTGTTCTCGTCCCACTTAGCTTGTGACATATTAAACTCCTGAAACAAAATATGTTGCTTTTAATGGAGAAATGATTTCACTTCAAAAGGGAGTGCATATACTGTCTTCTCAGAGAAACATTATGCAAAATTAGTTCATGTTTTGAATATTTGAGCAATTCAGAGAGGCAAACCATAGAGATGTTAAAAGTATAACTTAGTATACTATTCTAAATTATGAAATATACGTATCTGAAAACATACATAATATCATAAAAATACAATTAATATTTCCATAATTTCACATTAATTAGTAAAAAGTAGAGATACAAACTTTCCAACTAAACATGCTGCTAAATTATTATATAGACTGATTCAGAAAAAAATCTAATTCAGAAGAAACTCCTGGCCAGGTGCAATGGCTCATGCTTGTAATCCTAGCACTCTGGGAGGCCAAGGCGGGAGGATTGCTTGAGCTCAGGAGTCTGAGACCAGCCTGAGCAAGAGTTAGACCTATGCTCAAGTGCACATATGGAAATAACATTCATCAGAAATCAAGCAGGCGGGAGAGGGAGGAGGGGATGGGTAAATTCGCACCTAACAGATGCAATGCGCACTATCTGGGGGATGGGCACACATAACTTTCGCTCAGATGGTACAAAAGCAATTTATGTAACCAAAACGTTTGTACCCTCATGATATTATGAAATAAAAATAAATAAATAAATGTTTTAAAAAATTTTAAAAAAGAACAAGAAAAAAAAAAGAAGAAACACCAGAGACTGAGAAGTACTTCTGGCCAAAGATTAAATCCATCTGAGTTGAAAGACCACAGCACACAGGCAAAGAGGTGGCTGGCTAAGCAGCTCATCACTGTACAGCCATCATCCCTCTCTGGACTCCACTCTGGCGCTGAGTCTCCTTTGTCCACCGCATCTAGCTGAGCTCAGAGCATCGGCTTTAACACCTGCACCTGTGGGATATTTTCAAGGAGGCAGGTGCTGACCAGAGGAACAGCCTCATTCACCTTTAGATGAGTGACATCAGATCCTCCTTATTTGGATTTTGGAACCCCATCTTTGATGTTAGCTGCATGTAATAAGCCTAGATTACTCCCAACCACCATCCTCGTGAAATATACAGGAGGAGAGGTTTAAAACATTAGCTTTTGGTAGAAGAGCAGATTTTGAATGTCCACAACACAAAGAAATGATAAATGTTCAAGGAGATGGGTATGCTAACTACTCTGAATTGATCACTGCACATCGTATACATGTATCAAAATATCACTCTGTATCCCCTAACTAGGTGAAATTATTATGTGTCAACTAAAAAGAAAAAAATATATTGGCTATGGGGTGGAATTCTGGGTTTGCCAATTAGTAGCCATGAATCCTCGGCGAGTTTATTCACTTCTGTGAGCCTTAATTTCCTCAGGGTTAAACTGCAGATTATTATAATACCTACCTCAGAGGTTTATAGTGAGAACCAAATGATAGGACATATGTAAATCTGTTCACAAATGCCTGATAAATAATGTTTCCAATAATTTTTTTTTAAGTTCTTACCTGAGTCCAAAGTTATCAAATGTTTTCCCTGAGGTGAACATAAAGGCAATCTGGCACTATTTGCTTCTCCATATCATGGATTGGTTTCAATTACTACCTTTAGTATGTATTATTTATCCCCTCATCTAGTCTATTAGTAAATGTGTTAAATTTAAAACGAGCCCTGTTTCATCTCTCCTAAACATTTTAAGCCTCTTTAGAGAAATAGTTATTAATAATCATTCTTTGTTCAGAAACATTCAGTTAGGCTGACATCTACATGTCAAGAGTTCAGACGTGCAAATGTTAAAATAGTTTTGCCAGTAAAATTTCATGAGTTTTCACATAAAGTGTTTCAATTAACTCCATTTTGCTAGATGTGATCTTAATCTTAAAATGGCTATTAATCTCAAAAAAAGAGGAAAAAAAAAGTGAGACCTCATCTCTACTAAAAATTAGAAAAATTAGCCGGGTGTCATGACACATGCCTATAGTCCCAGCAATTTAGGAAACTGAGGCAAGAGGATCGCTTGAGCCCAGGGGTTTGAGGTTGCAGTGAGCTACAATTATGCCACTGCACTATACTCAGGGTGACAGAGTGAGATTCTTTCTCAAAAAAA